GGAATATGTGTTTCCATCCCTTCACTTTAGATCTGTATGTGTCTTTATAGGTAATGTAAGTTTCTTGTAGGCAGTGTATAGTTGGTCTTTTTTAAAAAATCCTTTCAGCCGGTCTATATATTTCAAATGGGGAATTTAACCTGCTTAACTTCGAGGTTGTAATTTATAGTTGAGAACTTACTTCTGTTATTTTGTTGTTTGTTTTCTGGTTGTTTTCTATTTTCTTTGTTCCTCATTTCTTCTCTCATTGTTTGTTTTTGTGGTTGCTTTGATCCTTTCTTGTGTTGGGATGAGTGCCAGGTGTTAACCTAGGTACAGTTTTCAGAATTATTCAGCATTGTCAGGAATTAGCCAGTTGATAAAATGTATTTGCAACTTTTGGGTGTACATATATTTTGAGCTGTGTATAAATAAATGTATGGCATAGAAATAGAAATAGTCTATAGGGTATGTAACATGCCATATCTCTCTCTTTCCATAAGCATTAATAAACATGAATATGTTTATTTGCGGTGTACCTCTTTTAAGATGTACTGATTATGTTAATTTAGTAGTACACATTTGAAATGAATCAACAATATATTCATCTGGTATACCTAATTTATATATTTAGCTTCAGGCTTTTTCAGTATGTGTCTTCTCCCTAGAAGAAGTTATAAAAGAAGAGATGTCTGAGTTCCTCCAAAACATCCTTATTTTGGTTAATCTTGATGAAATGTGATGGCACTATTTTTAATTCTTTAAAATATATATGCATCAAACAGTCAATCAGGGCATCTGAGGGGAAAGAATAAGGAAGGGTAAACTTTACCGCCACATGATTCACGTCATTGGAAATAGCTGTCAGACACAGAAACTCCTCTTATAGTGGCTTTTTGAGTCAAGTTCAGAAGATGAAAGATGATAATCCAGTGGTAGTTAGTTAATGTGGAGTTGCTGAGCAGGGGGAGCCAGCACAGCTTTCTTCAGTTAGAGACTATTTTGTCTGCCACTGTATATTCTGCTTCTCATGTATATCCTTGGCCTCTTGGTTTTCCTTTATTCTGTCCCTCATCCTGAGATATCTCTGTACTCCATTACGATGCCAGCATTGAGTCTGTTCTGAGTCACACTGATGTTCTTGGCCCTCAAAATAGATGGTTTTCTGGTATCTCAAGCACTTATTTCAGTTCTCTTTCCAGGACAAAAACAATGGTAACAACTTACAACATCTTTCTGAGGCATTTTATCTTCTTTAATGAACTCTGTACTAGACAAGGTGGATTATAATAGAAGTATTATATTTAGATGTCCAATGGAAACATTGGGAGGCAAATAAAGTAATCTATTCCAGACTGCCTGATTTGCATGGAGTTCTTGATCCGGGAACATTTCTCTTGATCTTTTCCCTATCATATTTAAAAGTCATGCAAGGCACATGGCAGATTCCCAGTAAGTGCTCGACTCTCCTTGTTTGATTTTCTGCATAGTCTAAGGACCAAATGAAGTGCTAACCGGGACATAGCCGTTCCTCCTTGTTTTTCTTCTTTTTTTCTTATCATGTTTTTTTTTTTAACTTAGAGTCATGTTTACACTGGAAGTAAGTTTAGTAGTTTGTGCAAAAATCCCGAAAAGAAGCCCACCTTTCTGGAGAGGTAGACATGGTCCTTCACACTAAGACTTGGAGGAGCATGCACATCCTCACAGAGCTGGGCTCTGGCCATGAAGCAGTGTCGCTAAAATGATTAACCAGAAGATACAAATGTATGAAGCGAACATGGATGTTCTTTAGGGTTAAAACTTGCTCTGTTATATTTAGAGTATGAAAATGCTTCAGATTAAGTCAGGCATATCATGTGCTGTTGTTTAAGTGGCATAAATTCAACTGTCTTATCTGCCTGCATTAGGGACCAAAATTGAGAATTCGTTTCTTTATTATTTTCACAAGTATGTATTGACCTGCTATGAGTCAGGCATTGTGCTGGATGCTGGAGACAGAGCCAAAAAACAAATGTGCCTATATAGCGGGTGGGGATATAGAACATGAGCACCAACCACGTCTTCATGTTAGAAAGAAGTTTCTGTGGGAGGTGAGAGCTAAGCTGAAGTAAAAAAGAAATGGACAGGTGAAGAAGGAATCTGTATGTGTGTACATGTGTATGTGGAGGCTGTAAGGGCTGGGAGGTAATAGCAGGCATTGCAGAGAGAAGGAAATGTATGTGCAAAGATCCAGAAACAGAGCAGGTGCCTATGGTTTGCCAGTCTATCAGGATGACTGAAGACTCAGAAAGAGCAAGAGAGAGGAGTGTGGTGTGTGAGTTCTGATCAGTAGGTGACCCTCTTTTTGTTTTATTTTATCTTGGAACCATCATTTGATGTTTTAGCATATTTTACTGAATTGACTTCTTTATAAAATTGGGAACTACCTATGAATCAACATACTTAAATGTGCAAAACTGAAGTATTTTGTTTAGAGGACTGAGGGAAGTTCCAGAGACAAGCGGATGTTGTTACCGCTTAGAGCATCAGAGTGTCAAAGTGCTCAGTTACCAGTTTTGAGAGGCCTGGACCACTGCATTGCAAGAGGTAGCCTATCACATCTGGTACTGAAGTTACTCAGAGTAAGACAGGAATATCAAAAAGACCTGGCTGCTTGTACGGCAGGTGGGAGTGTCACCTTCACGGCTTCCTCCCGCAGTTCAGGGTGTATGATCTGTGCCATGTAGGCCAGGCCAGGTCCAGACCAGGGCTCCCAGGAAGGAGAAGTCTCTTAAGACCATTCATGCTGACCAAACCATAAAAGGCAATGAATTCTCTAGGATGCCCATTGATCTGTTTAAAAATGAGAACTAGATGTGCCAACAGACCAATCAATTATTATAGCATTGACTGGCTCATGCATTCTTTCCTCATAAGAAAATTTGCAGGGAGCTATCATCAAAAGTTTCCTTTACAAACTTCAAATAAGAAAGAGGAAGCTGGATGAACTCCACAGCCACTATCATCCAGCCATGGTAGCGTATTGTAACCATCTCCAATCTAGTGATCTGTTGATTGCACAAGGAACCTCCAGTATACTGGTCAGAAGCTTTTCACTAACCAGTAACAAATTGGCTAATTTCTATGATATCATCCTCATTATGTTGATACTTTCCTTTAGATATGTAAATACCTTGATTATGCTGCAGTTTCCTTTTTACATTCAGACAAGTATATATTTTTGTTCATCTAGTAGGCACTGGGTACCTCTCTGTGCCAGGTACCAAGCTGAGCACTGGGGATAGAAACTCAAGGAGCAACTGTGACAATGTGTCACTGTAAACCAGATCTCTGTACAAAACAATGAAGGCTAGAATAAAGGAATATATAAGAATGTATATATAAGTTCAGAGGAAGAAGCACTTTATTTTTAATTTTATTTACTTTTTTGTTAATTTATTTGTATGCCTTGTTTTGGGAATATTTTGCTGCTGTGGAATGTCTGAGAGTGGCGAATTGCTTTTACTGCCTGGCTGTCTTGAGTGGTTTGTCTCTGGGAAGGTAGTGTTCTCCTTCCTCCGGGGGGATCTTGGTGTGGCTTGCTGTGTACTTATATGACGAATGTGCTGCAGAGGCTGGCTGAAACCCAGAGTGATGACTGATATTGAGCTGTCCTCAAAATTACTTTTTTGGGTAATAGTTTAATTAAAGCTACTGAGAGGGTAGCATATTAATTCAGAATGTAGGGGCTGGCGTGGGACAGATCTGTGTTGAAATAATGACTCTGCCACATATTAATAAATGTTGTGATATCTAAAGGAGGTCTTTTAACTGCTCCAATGGCTTGTTTCCTCAACAATATTCTGAAGCTAAAATATCTTTCATCAGGTAATTATGAAAATTAAGTGAGATAAAACATGTAAAATACTTATAAGCACTTACAAATGGTTAGCTTTTGTTTAGAGAAATCTGAATTGGAGTCTAGAGGAGTATTTCTATTTGCTTTACAATTTTATATTCTGATGTTATTTCTCCAAAAGTCTAGTTAAGAAAATGTCAGCACATCAACTCATACTTATTTATTTGCTGTCTTTCTGTCCTGTGGTCCAAGAAGTCTCCTCTTTGTTTGCCTCTGGAAAGGCTGATGGTGAAAAAGCTTAATTCCCAGACAAGTGCTGTTTGTTAGTACTTGTTGAGGGTTTACGTAATGCATTAATGAGGGAGTTGGCTGAAAAGAGAGAGAGAGAGCTTGTTTCTAGAGTATCTGAAAAAGAGAAATTTATATATTTATTTGGGAACAGATTTCTAAGTTACATACAAAATTGGTTAACGCCCTGGAGGGTGGTAAAACCTAACTTTAGAGATATTTTTCCTACTGGGCCAAGAAAAAAATTACTTCATAATAGTGTCTTACAATTTAATCTTAAACTTTATAGAACTGTAAATTGTCTGGGTTATCAAACAAAACTATGTCTCCTGAAAGAACTGTCATATTAGAAAATACTCTACCACAACATTTTAAAGGAAAATAATCATCAATTTGCTTTAGTATCGAGGTTTTCATAATTTTTCTACCACAATAAATATGTTTCACTACATAATTCATCTAGCAACCATAATGAAGTGATGTGAGAGGATTTTGCATTGTGAGGAGAAATTAGAAAGACTTCTTTAAAAATTGGGGGGAGAAATGCTAATAGGAAAAGAAGGAAGTAGGCTGACAGTGAAGGGAAAGGACTTGGCTTTGAAAGAGGAGAAGAGAGGTGAGAATATAGGGGAAGAAGATGCTCAGATCATTCTGCAGGGTGGCCTCTGTGGCCTCCTTAGAATTCTTCTCTCTATTCTTAGAGCTCTGACCCCTCCTTCTCTGGGAAGGAGGAAAGAATGGCAAAATGTCATCCAGGGTTTTCAGAGAAAAGTGATGGAATCCATGATCTTTGAGATTCCCCCTCTAGGTCCAATGTTTGTTCTTCATGGGTTCGATGCTCCTATCTCTGTGCTCCCTTAGCTGAACCTAATCTGTTCTTTGTTTCCATCCATAGTGGCGTAGATGTTTACTATGCCGTTACCTTCAATGGTGAGGCCATCAGCAATACCACCTGGGACCTCATTAGCCTTCACTCCAACAAGGTGGAAAACCACGGCCTTGTGGAACTGGACGATAAACCCACTGTGGTTTACACAATCAGTAACTTCAGAGATTATATTGCTGAGACACTGCAGCAGAACTTTTTGCTGGGGAACTCTTCCTTGAATCCAGATCCTGACTCCCTGCAGCTTATCAATGGTGAGTTTGATATCCATCATGAAGTCTTTGTATAGTTTCTTCTCCAGCATGCTCTGGTAAAAACGAATTTCCCTAAATATATAAGGTTCTGACCATTCTCTAGACTTTTTGAGACAGGAGCTAACCTGATGGGGAGCTTCAGCCATGCAGCTATTTTGGATAGATTAATCAGGGGCTTCCTGGAATATTTGTCAACGAAAGGCTACAGAGTGTGGAAAGTGACAGGTAGAAATAGTTTAGAGAAATAGGAGCAAAGTATAAGAAAAAGGAAAACAGTACCTGAAAGTAGCATTGAAACAGGCAATAATGTTGTCCTGACAACCGAGACATGAACTCTCTAAGGTAAATCAGCTGGTAAAGGTTTAAAAATCAGAGCGTAGCAAAAAGAAAGAGCTCAAGAAAGGTAACGGAAATTCTAGGTCAAGGAAGAAGTGATAGCGGGTGCTGTGCAGAATCCCAGGTAATCCAGTTACACTGACTTTAAATTCAGATGGCTGTGGAGAGCCTGTTATGATACGTACTGAATAGGTAAATGTGAGGGATCATCAAGAAGTGGGTGTCTACCTTGGATTTGGAGGCGACAGGGTGCCCAGTCAACCCAGGACTTGAAACTTGCTAAGAGTCTGGCTGCTAGTATGCAGCATCTTAACTTATCGAGGCCACGGTATCCTGCTAACTCCCTTGCTATTTTGCATTTGCTTCTCTTCTCCATGATTTCTTTACTCATTGGTAACTTGGCTTTTAAAATGTTCTGTGGAATATACATTACTGAAGTGACAGCATGGGAGAAGTACCAGCTGCCAAGGAGGAAAATCTACCTGTGAGGCAATACAAATGATCCATTTCTACAGCCTCTCCAGCTCCCACACATTTTAAAGAGAAAAGAGCTTCTGCCCATAGGTGTGTGTGTGTGTATGTGTGAGAGTAACAAATAAATAAACAAAAATAGACATAGAGAGGCTTATGGATTTACATGGGAAGATCAGAAAATTAATAATGGAAGAGAATAGTAGATTTGAAAGGTAAGGTAGGGAAGAACATAGGAATCAAAATTTTTTGAGTTGGGGCTTGGGAGAATTTTTAGACAGAGACAAAGAAAAGTCTTGTCTTTCCAGGCAGTTATGTGTGTATGTGAGTGTGTGCACATGTTTGAATGTGTGTGTGTGCACATGTGTGAATGTGTGTGTGTGTGAGAAACAGAGAAAGGGAGAGAAAAATTTTAATAAAATTTTGCTGTGTGATTTAATCTCTTATTTCCAAAATAAGTTTTGTGTGCGTGTGTGTGTGTGTGTGTGTGTGTGTGTGTGTTTGTTGTTGTTGTTTGTTTTTTTGAGAGGCCAGACTAAAACTTTTACATTGCTTTCAACTATTTGGCTGCTGGACTAATTTTTTTTTTAATGTGACACTCTGCTGACACAGGGCCACAAAGTGATCTGGGCTTTATATGAATTACATAGGACTTTAAGATGGAGAAACTCTGTCTTCAGTGAATGGGAGTGATATAGAATCATTCATTCTTAAACATCAGGGAGCCTTTATATTTCGGAGCATGTACCCTGGGCTCACTTCCTCATATACTCCTTCATCATCGTTGAATCTCTGTTGGAACTAGGGCTACATAAAATAGTGAACAGATAAGAAGCTTGCTATAATCTGAAACTGCTAAAGTCCCTCTGTCAATGCTAATAGAGATTATCTGGGCTAACCGTGGGGACAGCATATGGGCAGAAGATTCTAGGAATCAGGATATTGGGATCAGACAGAGAAAAGATACAGTTAGAAGATCATGACCTAAGGGAGTTAAGAACCTCCATTGAGCAGAAGGTACAAGCACCAAGGTCAGTAGCTGGAGTGGTAGGAGAATGGCATGAAGATTAAGGTCAATGATAAATAAAGAGGTTGCTTAGGAATCTACATCCACAAACAGTATTGCAAGATCTTCCTTTTATGTGGAGTTTGTGGGTAGAGCTACTTTCATAAAGGTGTCCCAAAAAGAGGTAAAGAACTTCTGCAGATTTTGTAGGCAAGTTCACTAAAAGCTTTACAATCTCTAGTACCAACTAATTCAGGTGCCTTGGACTTTCATTAGACGTATGTTTCAATTACTCAGAATTTTGTCCCTAAAATCTATTTCTATTGTCAGGCCAACTTCAGAGTTCTGAATGGTGGCAGATTTCTATGTAACTTGACCACTATCTCAAAAGATACTGTCCTCCTTGTATCAGTCCATTCTCACACTGCTATAAAGAACTACCTACGGCTGGGTAATTTATGAAAAAAGGAGATTTGATTGACTTACAGTTCCACAGGCTGTACAGGAAGCATGGTTGGAAGGCCTCAGGAATCATGGCAGAAGATGAAGAGGTGAAGGGGAAGCAGGCATGTCTTACCATGGCAGAGCAGGAGGTTGGCAGGGGGAGGGAGGGAGGGAGGGAGGGGGAGAGAGAGAGAAAGATAAGGGGGAGGTGCTACATACTTTTAAGCAACCAGATCTCATGAGGACTCACTGACCATTCATGAGAACAGCAAGGAGGAAATCTGCTCCTATGATCCAATCACCTTCCACCAGGCCCCACCTCCAACACTTGTGATCACAATTCAACATGAGATTTGGGTGGGGACACAGAGCCAAACCATGTCACTCCTTGATCTTGTGGAGCTTATTTTTCATAGAAGACAAGAGAATTGTATACACAGTGCTTAAAAGTTTTAGAAAATACTTAAGCCAAATAGGGTTTTTGACTTTTGCTTGATTCTCTATGTCAGGCCAGTGGGAACAGGTGAAGAAAGAGACTCTGCTTCTATTTGTGGTTGCCTACAGCAGATCGCTCTCCTGGCAATCCCATCTTTTTAGCTTTTATTGATTCCCTCTCCCTTCTGGGGAAAATCAGCAACTTTTTTGTCTGTGTTGTTTGTACATTGTAAATATGCCGCTCACATTGTTATATAATTTGTGTTTATTTCTCTGATACGTGTAATGCTTCCAGAAGAGAAACTTGGCTTTATTAATGCGTATAGCCTCAACTTTGGCAACGTCTGTGGTAACTAGCAAGGATTCATTAAATTTTTGTTGAATTCAATTATATAATCTACTCTCTATGTTGCACTTTAATATCATTACAGCGATAAAGATTTTTGGTGTCTTAGCTCAGTTTTCAAAGGTACTTTCTTCCCAAAAGGCAATTATTTTTCATGTTTTTCTATCATTCTTAGCATAAACCAAAGGAATTGAAATTTCAGTACAAATTTTTTACTTAAAAATTAATTGAAAAATAAGCACTTCATAGGAATCTTGGACAGAATAAAAACTGACTTGAAAAAGGAAAAAAGTAATATAGGAGTGTCCTAAATGTAATAATGGGAAGAATCTTTATTTTATGTTGGATTTTTGCAACTCAGACAGATTGTGCTAATGTAAACGAAATATCTGAATTTTCTAAGTAAGTGTGTCACATATGTTCTGCCAACATCTAAACTATGAAGAGGAAGAATTTGGCTTTCAGTTGTCCCTGCACCTTAAATACAGTAGCACCTCAACTAAACATGTTCTTTAATATCGTTCTTTCCTCAGTGAGAGGAGTTTTGCGTCACCAAACTGAAGATCTGGTTTGGAACACCCAAAGTTCAAGTCTTCAGGCAACGCCATCATCTATTCTGGTATGTTTTATGTTTTATGCTAGAACCTGGCCCTCGAGCTCCTCTTCTTTCTTCCCTCCCCTGCTGACTTTGGCATTATGAATTTCCCAAGCTGTTCTCATTTCAATTAATTTCTTGCATCATCCCTAGGCTATTACTCATAGCTGTCAGCTCATAGGTACCAAGTGTTGCTTGAGAAAACTCAAGCCTTCGGCAGTGGTTCAATAAAGTCTGCGTTGCCAAACTCCGCACAGGGCAGGAAACGTATTTATGTTTCCTACTTCTTTGGTGATAATGAAGCTACTGAGTACTCCCTGAGTGGTTCTCTGAGAGTCACCCAGAACTGGATTTTACAGCCAAGATGGTAAATTGATTTACTAGGTATACAGTGTAGATTTTTTGTTCCAAGGATTATGGTGAAAAAGAAGTTAAACTCCAAAGCACATAGAATAATTGTGTGTATGGAAGGGAAAGAGGGAAGAATTTCCACTAGCTGACAGATGACAGGGACTCTGAATCAGGCCTCCTTGTAATCTGGACTGAAAACATTCCCATTTACACAGAAACAGCATGGGATGAACTTTCCTTTTTGTTCTTACCACCCAGCTGCAACAAGAATTCCTCTTCCCCCTCTAAACCTCCACTTCCCTCTTCACTTGTAGGGGGTTATACAGTAGAAAAAGAAACAGCACAGTCAAAACTACAATGATAACATCTGCAACCACAAGCCACTGCAGAATTACCCCTCTGCAATGAATACAGGAATCTTTTGTGATCACACAGAAACAGCAGGGGGACTCCCTTCTCATCTACATTCCTTGCTCTTCTTCCCACTTAAAATTTATTTTCTGTCTCATATCAGCTATTTGAATTGCTTCTTTCTCGACTTTAATTGAGCAGTGGAAATTCAGAAAGCCTGCCCTTAATTCATCCACCCATTAATCTCTGCAGCCATTTATTCTACAAGGTTATAGAGCAACTCAAAATTACAGTGTAGAATGACTAAAAACAATCTTTTCACTGAGTTACATATTAGACAAAATAGGTTAGAGGAGATTTACAGAGAGTGCCTTCATTCGGTGTGTATTTATTCACTTACTTATTCATTCATTCATTCAAATATGTTTGTTTTGTGCTTTCCATGTGCCAAGTGCTTGTGAAACTAAGACAAATAAGGTGTGGCTCTGCCTACAAAACATTTCTAGTCTGGTGGTCGTAGATTTCTAAACAAATAAGGTGATGCAGATACTGTCCTAGAGGCCCATGCAGGATACAGTGGCAGGGAGCGATGAGAGCACCACTACTCCCTGCTCCTAATCACATTCTCTCGCTGCAGGAGGAGTTTGGTGACGATGTTTTAGAATCATATTGTAAAGATGAGAGTTTCTATCGAAGCCAGAGGCTGCAAACTGGAGACGAGCTGGATCCAACTACAGACATGCAGCTTGAGACCAAATTTTTAAAAATAAGTCATTATTTTACAAGTAGGAGACTTTTACATAAAAATGCAGGTTTCTGGCTTCTTTTGAACATCAGGAAGATCTGCTACTGTTAAGTTCATGTTCCCCTGTGGTAGGAAGTGGCCGGAGCTTGGCTCTGGCTACCCTTAGTGATGGCAGCACCAGCAGGGCTCACTCGTTCATTTCTGTGGCAGTGCCTTGATTTGTATCTAAGCCAACCCCTTACTTAATCGAATAGTGATAACCGTAGGGCATTCATTCCGAATTTAAGGAGACATTAGCATGTTAATGGGAGGTAATAAGACAGGAAAACGAGGAATGATTAATTAGAAGTGTCTAGTTATTACTTTCTTTTTACTTTATTCCTTCCCTCCCTCTCTTTATGCCCGTTCCAACTGTTGGCAAGATTTTACTCTACCGTAGAAGGAGGTGGGCTTCTCCCCCCAGATTAGATTTTTAAAAATTATTTTATATACAGAGCTACCATGATTATATTACTAATCATTTTATTGTTTCTATTATAAAGGATTTATTCAAGGAGTCAAAAAAAAAAGTTATTTCCGAGCTAGGAATGTTGAGAAATTGAATTTGACACCTTTCTGGCACTGCGATTTGGAAAATCACTTGTACAGCTTGCTTTCTTCAGGACAAACAAGCTTTTCAATTGGCAGTAGCAGAAATGAAACTGACCAATATAATAAAGTTGTCAAGATACTGCATTGAACTAAAGAACGCACGAGTTAAATTGTTACTGTGGGAACATCTATGAATAAAAAGATTAATGAAGGGCTATTCCTGGCATGTATGTGTTAATCTTTCAAAATGTACAGGAAAGCTTCATTGTCATGCCATTTTTTAGGGAATATTTATTTGGAAGGGATGGTCTTTCTTCTTTATTTGAAAAGTCAAGTTGTTTACTTTCACATTTTATATTGCCTATCAGCGACTTGACTTCTTAAAAGATTTTATGGGCCGGGCACAGTGGCTCATGCCTGTAATCCCAGCACTTTGGGAGGCTGAGGTGGGCAGATCACAAGGTCAGGAGTTCAAGCCTGATCAACATGGAGAAACCCTGTCTCTACTAAAAATACAAAATTAGCTGGGCATGGTGGTGTATGCCTGTAGTCCCAGATACTCAGGAGGCTTAGTCAGGAGAATCTCTGGAACCTGAGGTGGAGGTTGCGGTGAGATGAGATCACACCATTGCACTCCAGCCTGGGCAATAAGAGCGAAACTCTGTCTCAAAAAAAAAGTTATGTATAGTTTTACTTTTAATATTTATGAAGTGAAAAGGCATTTCGTTTATAGAAAAACACTGAAACAATATATCACAGCTTGAGGATTTCTTTTTCATTGAGGATTCAGCTGCTTTCCTAATGTGTGTCAGGTTACGTGCTCTGTCTGATAAAACTCCACTTCTTAAGCATGGCTTAAAGGGCTTAAGCTATCTCACTTGAATTTTTCTTTAAAGTACATTTGGAATTTTCAAGAATATATGAGTAGTTTCAACACATCTCTGGAAGTAGTTTTAGATAAGTAAAAGGAAAAAAGTTAATTTCCTGATGTGGTCTGATCATCATCATTGTAACTACTTTATTGAAGAACAGAACTTGGTATTGAGAAAATGGCTTTCTTTCCCCTGACTACATATGCAGTTTTCGATCCTAGAAAAATAAAGGGGAAGGATAGAAACTTTTTTTCTGTGCAAACAACCTTCATATTCCATAGAGCAGATTTTTAAGTATTAGGAGACGACTTCCCATACTCTCTCCATCTGTGTTGACCTGGGCCTGATAAACCTGTGAAATACGCTAACCCAGCGCAGCCAAGGCTCTTTGCTCTAGTTTCTCCTCTGAGAATCCTTTCACCACTTGGAAATATACAGCTGTAGAGACCTCTGGATGAATAGCTGTTAGTGGAAAAAGCACTGGCACTGAGAAATCTAGACTCGGCTGCTTCCAGTCTCTTCTGTTTTTCTTTTTTTTTGTGTATCCTTGAACATTTCACTTCTGTGACCCTCAGTTCCTTGTCTTTAATAGGCATGCTTTGCTACATGTGTTCCTGAGTCCTTCCAAGTGTAAGATGTGAGACTTTTATGTTCACATGCGTGTGCATGCTCAGCCCTTGTTTTCAACGTAAGATTTTTACAAGCCGAAGGATGGCCTCATGAAGCACATGACAAGAGCTGGTATTTTTACTTAATTTTTTTGCCTTTCACTTTCTGGACTTTAATTTGTTGTCTTCCATTTCTCCGGAAGTGAACTCTTGCTTCATCTCCTCCATTCTGGAGGACTCAGAATAACTTAGACCCTCTAGCAGAAATATAAAGCAACTTCATGTCTATTTGGTGCTAAGTTATGTAGGAGCACTCTGCACACAGGTCAGCAACTACAAGCCACCTCTACTGCACAGAGTTATGTAAGGTTAACTCTACTCCTGGTAATTGTCTGGTGTTTTCTGAGACAGGTCTTGCTCTGTCACCTGGGCTGGAGTCCAGTGGTGTGATCATAGCTCACTGAAGCCTCATACTCCTTGGGCTCAAGTGATCCTCCTGCCTCAGCCTCCACAGTAGCTGGAACTATAGGCATATAGTTCATGGCACATGGCTAATTTTTTTTTATTTTATGTTTTTGGTAGAGACAGAGTCTTACTCTGTTGCCCAGGCTTGCATGCTCTTGAAGTTTACTTGAAAAATGCCAGAGGTCATCTCCCAATTATATCTTTTTTTATTTTTGGCCTGAATCATGAACCATGTCTTCTTATCCTCAGGTTCACTTTTGTTAGGGGATTTCCTAAAAGGGAATTTTATGTCCTGAGATATTTCTCTTTCTCTATACAGTGTTTTGCAATTGTATCTAGTCATTGGATGATGGCCTCTGGCTTCCTCGTCTTGCTTTTTCTCTCATATATTTCACTTCAACAGATTCAGGAGATTTGGTTATTAGACTCCAGTCTAATTCCTAGATATATCTTGCTTCTATTTCCTTTTTCAGCCAGAGGTAATTTGCCAAAAATGTTTGCTAACATTGCATCATACACTTACCATTTTCCTTTTTTCTTTCCAGATTTTTAATTTCTAATTACATTTAGCTAGAGTGACATCATTTTTGATTCATGTTGTTGTTTTAACTGATTCTCATTCCTTATTCTCTGGGCATTTGTATTTCATTTTGGAGTGTCTAATCACTTTTTGACAGAAATAATTTAAACTTTAATGAACTTTTAAATGCACTGTACTGTAAACTGATGGCGCATTTGCATAATATCGCTCATCCAGGGTTTCAATGGTAACAATCATCTAGATGAATCTATTAGTGGAGGTGTGTATAGGGTTAGAGGAGCAAAAAAAGAATCTCGAGGCATGCAGAGACTAACACCAGTGTAAAGCAATTGCCACTACCGTCCATTGGATTACAGAGGAAGGGGAGGAAATGCTCTTACCAGAGCCCATTGAGAGCTGGAGCTGTAATTGTGGAGGGAGAAGCACAGCTATGCTAGACACATGGTTTTGAGGCTTGGAGGAAGCAGGAAAGAAATACCCTGACCTCTCCTTCCTCTTGTCCTTTGATCTGCTTATGTGTCTCCTTGGCCGGACTCAAACAGAAAACAAATGCAAGGGGGCAGGGTTGGTGCAGCTCACAGGGGTCAGCCTCCTAGGGCAGAGGGCAGGAAGAGAAGGATCTGAAATGGTGGTGACAATTACAGATTAATCAGCATGGTGACCCACTTAAAATAGGAACTAGTTAAAACAACATGGACAAGGCAGTAAGTGATGTTGTAATGAATTCCACAAAAGAAAATAAGACTACTTGACAGAGTGCTTTTAGTTTAAAGATGGTAGATGAAATGGCGGGTAACCCTCTATAGAGCCTTCTGTTATTACTATTTTTCCTGTGCATTTGTCACTAGGGAAGGGACAAAGTAGACCTGCCTGGTGGTTTCCTGCCTCATGGCTCCCCCTCTGTGACTGGGAGAGTGTGTAGTTCAAAGTCTCCTCACACAGATCTTTGACAGAGAGACAAGGGGCACTTCGAAGACAAAGCATAACAGACTAATTAGGCCTTGTGTATTAGTCCGTTTTCATGCTGCTGATAAACACATACCTGAGACTGGGCAATTTACAAAAGAAAGAGGTTTCTTAACAGTTCATGTGGCTGAGGAGGCCTCACAATCATGGCGGAAGGTGAAAGGCACGTGTCACATGGTGGTAGACAAGAGAAGAGAGCTTGTGCAAGGAAACTCCCCTTTCTAAAACTGTCAGATCTTATGAGACTTATTCAGTATCACGAGAACAGCATGGGAAAGACCTGCTCCCCTGATTCAATTACCTCCCACTGAGTTGCTCCCATAGCGCGTGGAAATTCAAGGTGAGATTTGGGTGGAGACACAGCCAAACCATATCACCTTGTTTTGGATTAGCTCTCTCCGTAGGCCAGTATGCTCTGCTTTATTTCATGACCATAGACTAAACTTGACTTAGCCACCCTAAAATTCTGTGCTTTTGTTCAAAATGCATATTAGGCTTGAGACTATCAGTGCAAATTTACTCTTGCTGATAGGAGGGAGAGAAGGTTAGATTCAGTGTTTCTTATTCGTAATTTTCATTGTGTTCATAGCTGCAATATGAATTCTAGTCTTTTGATAGATTTGTAAATATGGGAAATTCCTTAAATGTCCCAGTTGATAAGACATAAAACCATTCAGAAATTGAAGAAGTATGTTAGAAACCCAGGCAGGAATATGATGCCCAGAGCATGATTCGGGCATTTCCTCTACTAGGGAACTTTTGCAAGTATCCAATTCTATGTCTCCCAGACCAATTAAGTTAACATCTCTGAGTGTCAGGCCTGGGAATTGGTGTTTTTCTAAAGCCTCCATGTGATTCAAATGCCTTCTGAGGACTGAAAACGATTGTTCTATTCTCTTTTTCTTTCTCAGTTTTCATATACCCAGGAAATATTTTCTAATTTTTTCTATGTGCATTGTACTTTTCTTTGTTATTCATAATCCAGAATAGATTGTAATATATCAACTCCCGCCAAATACCATGTCCATTTTACCTCATAGCCTTATTGTTAAACTTTCTTTTTTTAAATAGACAGAGTCTTGCTCTATAGCCCAGGCTAGAGTGCAGTGGCTTGGTCATAGCTCATGGTAGTCTTGAACTCCCAGGATCAAGTGATCCTCCTGCCTCAGCTTCCCAAGTAGCGAGAACTCCAGGTGTGTGCCACCATGCCTGGCCAATTTTTTGTTGTTGTTGTTGAGTTGGGGGTCTTGCTATGTTGCCCAGGCTGGACTCCTGGACTCAAGCTATCCTCATGGCTCAGCTTCCCAAATTGCTGGGGTTATAGACATGAGCCACTGTGCCTGGCTGATCATTGTATTTTTTTTTTTTTACATAGACAGTTCTTCATAAGATTAAGTAATTAATATGTTCAAGGATTGTGTTTCTGTATACTTCTCCATTTCTGAAGCTACGTTTTAAGATAAGATTTGTAGTACATCAGTAAAACATCACTAGAAAGAGGAAATTGTTTATGTTTTGTAAGTGTGATACCATTTCACAGGAGTGGCTATTCATCTGAGGTAACCAGACTACATTTTGATGTAGTGACATTTCTGACCAAACTGGAGGACCTTCATTAACTAATTATATTTTCAGAATGGTGAATACAATTGCCAGTTGTTCTTTCCTGCTGTGGGCAATGTAATTAAATCTTTGCCAACCAGTTACAGATAACAGTAATGTCTATGTATTTCAAGTCATTTAAGCTAAAAACACGGAGGAAAATGAACCATCGAAAGCAAGAAAACATTTTCTCTCATACATTCACTTTGAGGGCTTTAAATATGCTACCTCTTCTGTCCTTGCTTTACCGGAGAGAGCTGACATAGTTTCTCTCTAGATCCTGGAGCCCATGTCTCGCCCTACCCCCAATATTATTAATACACCACCTCCTCGTCCCTAGAAAACCTGGGAATATAGACAGCTAGGTGGTATTTAAAATCACTTTTTGTATGTTTCTTTTATCTATGATATGATTTAGCCTTTTTTTCCCCCCAGGATAATACCTTTCAAGCTGCATGGCCCTCAGCAGATGACTCCATCATCAGCAGTATCCCACCATTTGATTTCAGCTCTGGTCCTCCCTCAGCCACTGGCAGGGAACTCTGGTCAGAAAGTCCTTTGGGTGATTTAGTGTCTACAGACAAATTAGCCTTTCCCTCGAAGATGGGCCTCAGCTCTTCCCCAGAGGTTTTAGAGGCTAGCAGCTTGACTCTTCATTCTGTCACCCCGGCAGTGCTTCAGACTGGCTTGCCTGTGGCTTCTGAGGAAAGGACTTCTGGAACTCACTTGGTAGAAGATGGTGAGAAACTTTAATCCCTTTTCATACTTTTTGTTATATCCAAAGACAAGGGTTTTAAAGAGAGGAAGAGACTGTGGCTATGAAAGAAACATGGTAGCATTCAACGGGGGGAAAATGTCTTGGTAAAATTGTGTGCAAGAGGAAACTGTCCAATTTAATTTGTTGGAATGGAGAGTCCAAATAGGTAAATAACAAGAAATAAACTTGGGAAGCTGGAGCGGGGATCGATTAATAGATATTTTGAAGGACATATTTAAAGGTATATAGTTTAGTTAAATTACTGCTGCTACTTTTAAAGAATCACTTTACTTAAATATTGGAGTAATAAATAGCATCGAATGAGATTATTCAGCTAGGTTATAGCTAGCACTTGTGGGGGCCAAGTCTAAAGATTTTTGCTTGTAGCAGTATTGAGAAGGGTAGAAGCTAACCCATGGCAGCCACAGCCCAGATAAAGAAGTGAAAATGAAATCGATGATCTGGATGCCGTGGAGGAAAGGAAATATAAATGTGACTGAGGGATGGAGTACACATGTGAAATGAGGAAGATGAACAAATACATAAAGAGTTCAGGATTGTGAACATTGGGTGACAATGAAGGATGACGGACAAAAATATAACAGGGAAAATGAGAGTTCAGATTGTGAATATTGGGTGATGATGAAGGATGACGGACAAAAAACATAACAGGGAAAATGAGAGTTCAGATTGTGAACATTGGGTGACTATGAAGGATGACGGACCAAAACATAACAGGGAAAATGAGAATTCAAAGAGAAACACAGTGTTCAGGGAATTTTCCTCCTAAATCACTGCTGGATTTAGTATTCATTGTCAAAATTGCTACCAGCAGTTCTTTATTTTCATGAAATTTTATTAAAAAACACAAGTGTTTGAAGATTATTTCAATAGTCAAGGTCTTGTCATCCTCAAGAAAGAGATAATATTCATGAGTGATTATCCATATTAAAAACACATTATCAGATCTTCTTGTTTGCTAGATATAGAAAAGCAAAAGCCAACAATTGTCCCTGTTAACTCCACTGGGAAAAGATAGGCAACTAGTTTTATTTATTACCTTTTGGCAACTCTGTAGATTAATTAATATAACACTTTATTTTCAGGATTAGCCACTGTTGAAGAGTCAGAAGATTTTCTTTCTATTGATTCACTGCCTTCAAGTTCATTCACTCAACCTGTGCCACAAGAAACAATACCACCCATGGAAGACTCTGATGTGTCCTTAACACCTTCCCCGTATCTGACCTCTTCTATACCTTTTGGCTTGGACTCCTTCACCTCCAAAGTCAAAGACCAATTAGAAGCGAGCCCTTTCCTGCCAGATGCATCCATGGAAACAGAATCAATATTTGAGAGTGGTTTGGGTTCAGGGTCCGGGCAAAAGTGGGATCTGGTTACTTGGCCATGGAGTGAGACTTCGTCAGAGAGCACTGAACCACTGTTCAAGCCATGGCTTGAAGATGATGATTCACTTTTGCCAGCTGAGATTGAAGACGAGAAGCTAGTTTTAGTTGACAAAATGGATTCCACAGAGCAAGTTAGTAAGCACTCAAAATATGAACATGATGATAGATCCACACACTTTCCAGAGGAAGAACCTCCTAGTGGGCCTGCTGTACCCATCCTCACAGAGACTGCCACTGAATCTGCATCTCTAATTGTCCCCAAGCACATGTCAGAAGTACCTGGTGTTGATGATGATTCAGTTACCAAGGCACCTCTTCTACAGACACCTGTAGCAATATCTACTGATGAATCAGACCAGGCGGATGCCATCCTAAGGGAGGATGTGGAACAAACCACCGAGTCATCCAACTATGAATGGCTTGACAGCGAGGTTTCAGTGGTAAAGCCAGACATGCAACCTTTGTGGACTATATTGCCAGAATCAGATAGAGTCTGGACAAGAGCTTCTTCCCCGGAGAAATTGTCCAAGGACACATTGGCAAGTACACCACAGAGTACTGACAGACTCTGGTTGAAAGCTTCCATGACACAGTCTACCAAATTGTCTCCAACCACAATCTCCACCCTGCTAGAGGATGAAGTAATTATGGGTGTACAGGATATTTCATTAGAACTGGACCGGATAGGCACAGATTACTATCAGCCTGAGCTAGTCCCAGAGCAAAATGGCAAGGTTGGTAGTTACATGGAAATGTCTACAAGTGTTCACTCCACAGACATGGTTAGTGTGGCTTGGCCCACAGGAGGAGATGACTTGAGTTATACCCAGACTTCAGGAGCTTTGGTGGTTTTCTTCAGCCTCCGAGTGACTAACATGATGTTTTCAGAAGATCTGTTTAATAAAAACTCTTTGGAGTATAAAGCTCTGGAGCAAAGATTCTTAGAGTTGGTAAGCAGAAAAAGTAAAACATGGGCACTAGTGAATAATCATGTATGATCCACTCCTCCTCCCCTCTAGCACAAAAGATCTGAGCAGGGAAAGTGGGATCTGCTGTGGGCATTCATTTCCCATCATTTACAAATAGTATCATGGCCTGGGGTTGGTAATAAGACAGTAAGACAGGTACATACAAGAAACGGAAAACACAAAAGTGGCATGAGAGTGATGTAATAATTTACAGGGAACACTGTATTCCATGAATTACGAGACTACAATAAGTTTGACGTTTCTTTTCACATTTGACTGTGAAGCTAATGTTTTGTGGGTACCTACGATCCCGTCACTGTTGTAATCCTTTAGTGAAACAGAAAATAAACTTTCTGGGTGTCTAAAACTATGTATGAATAAAACTATGTGTGAACTCCCTAAAGACCACTACAAAAGTCTCATAGCATTTCTAGTTTCTACCGTCAAAGCAGTCCTAATTTGCACTTTCGTTAATTAACAGTTTAAATGTAGATAAAATACAATTAGGAAAAGCGAGGCAGGGGCTTATCTTATTTTTTTTGTTTGTTTTGTTTGGGTATGTATTGAACAGAAAGTGAAACCCTGTAATTAACTCACCACTTTGCATGTATTGTAGCTGGTTCCCTATCTGCAGTCAAATCTCACGGGATTCCAGAACTTAGAAATCCTCAACTTCAGAAATGGCAGCATCGTGGTGAACAGCCGGATGAAGTTTGCCAGTTCTGTCCCTCCTAACATCAACAATGCGGTGTACATGATTCTGGAAGACTTTTGTACCACTGCCTACCATACCATGAACTTGGCTATTGATAAATACTCTCTTGATGTGGAATCAGGTATGACGTCACCTAGCCTGGTGATTTCTTAGTCGCATCCAGTGATTATTCTTGTGTGTTTTCTTCGTCATTGCATTAAGGTGACTCCAGTACTTGGAAGAAAAGAGAGTACTGTCAGACAAATCTTCCACGTCTTCACAACTAGAAACATATTTCTCCCAAGAACGTCAATTTCATTCCCTTTTCAAAGCATCGTCCAAACATGTTACTTTACTGTTTCACCTCCATTCCCTTTTCTGCCCACTGCATCTGGCTTTTGTTTTTATTTATCCACTGGATCAATTTTTGCTATGCCTTCATGTTACCACCTGCAAAAGGTTTGGGCCCTCTTCCCTTTAAGTTTTTGCATCCATTTCCATTGTCTTAAGCATTATGTAAATGTCAGCAACTCTCCACATTTTTTATATGCAGATCAAATGTCTCAAAACCTCCAGAATTAATATCTATGTACTTACTTGACAATCTCCACTTGGATGTATTCTGTGTATGTCAAATTTAAGATAGCTACGAGTGAGCTCTGCTTTTCCATATCTCACTACCCTCCAGCTAAATCTACTCTTTCAGTTTCTCTATCTCTTTCTATAAATGTAAGCTTTGTTTTTTTGTTTTTTTTTTTGAGATGGAGTTTTGCTCTTGTTACCCAGGCTGGAGTGCAATGGCGTGATCTCAGCTCACCGCAACCTCCACTTCCTGGGTTCAGGCAATTCTCCTGCCTCAGCCTCCTGAGTAGCTGGGATTACAGGCACGCACCACCATGCCCAGCTAATGTTTTGTATTTTTAGTAGAGATGGGCTTTCACCATGTTGACCAGGATGGTCTCGATCTCTTGACCTCGTGATCCACCTGCCTCGGCCTCCCAAAGTGCTGGGATTACAGGCTTGAGCAACCACGCCCGGTCCTATAAATGTAAGCTTTATCTACTCAGCCACTTAAGCCGGAAACATGAGAAGTCATTGTTTTTTTTTGAGATGGAATTTCGCTCTTGCTGCCCAGGCTGGAGTACAATGGTGTGACCTTGGCTAACTGCAACCTCCACCTCCCAGGTTTGAGTGATTCTCCTGCCTCAGCCTCACGAGTGGCTAGGATTACAGGTGCCTACAACCATGTCTAGATGATTTTTTGTATTTTTAGCAGAGACAGGGTTTCTCCATGTTGACCAGCCTGGTCTTGAACTCCTGACCTCAGATAATGCACCCACCTCGGCTTCCCAAAGTGCTGGGATTACAGGTGTGAGCCACCACACCTAGCTAGAGAAGTCATTCTTGATATTTCAGTACCTATCACCTTGAACTCTTGGTCACTCACCAAACTTGTATTGATTATGAATTCTAGCTGTAACTCAAATCCATGCCCTTTTCCCTATCTGCACGGCTATGACTTCCTCCAAATCACCACGCTCTCTGCTTTGGACCAGTTACCCCACATCCTCTCATGCTCCTCCTCCTATCTATCCTCCAGACAGCGGCCAGGTCTGGTTCAGTAGCCACAAGGCCTGGTCCCTGTCTTCTTCCCTGAAATCCAATGCTACTTACCCCTGTTTAACATGTTCTAGTCAAACCAGCTTGTTTTTGGTTACTCAGATGCAAAACCTTTTTCTTCCCTTAAAGCTTTTGTACACACCGTCCCCTTTTGCCTTCTTACTGACTTTTGTTCACCCATGTGCCTCAGTTCAAATGTCACTTCCTTAGGACTTTCATTGACTCACTTATAGTCTAGATTGAGTCTTTCCTGTCAGTTTTTATATTAATAATACAATGTTCTTTTCCCCTAGAGAGTTATCATCGTTGTAATAATGTTAATTTATGTGCATAGTTGCATAATGGCTATTTTTTCCAGATGAGCATTTCACAAGGACTGAGAATGTGTCTGTTTTATTAAGTACTTTCTAGCCAGAATTTAGCACAGTGTATTGAACACAGAAGATACTAAAAAATACTGTGAGTGAATGACATAAACCATTGCTTTTATCTGGGAGCCTTGGATGCAGAGAATACTGCTGAAGCGTGAAATTCTGTTCTTGCTTCTCTTCTATGTACTAGAGGACGGTGCTTTTGAGGAGTAAGAAGAAATGTCCTCATATTTCTCCAGTGCCTTTTAATCTCAAACTGGTTTGAAAGCCCGCCCTATTCTTTCAGAAAGAAGCATGCTTTCTTTTGAAGTCTTTGAGAACTGGTAGCCATTGAAAGTGAGGAAAATGATTTCACTAATCCTTCGTATCCCAATCTCTTTCCACTTAGTCCTCTAGGACTATTTGCACATTCTTTGTCATGTGCTGTAATAGAAGAGGCAATTCGTTCTAATTTGTAAGTTGTGATTTCTTGCTTTTGCTTTACCATTTATTATTTGTATGACCCTAGGTGGGCTACTTTTATCCCTGACACTTTAATTTGCACATGTTAAATGGGGGTAATATTGCCTGGCTCTGTATTTTATGAGACTATTGTAAGCATTACACAAGTAATATATATAAAACATTTGACTGGCTGTACAACTGCAAACAGTTATGAGTTATAATACTTTTGCAAAAGTCAATCGACTTCTTTTTAGACAGAATTAAAGGCCAGGTGCTGTGGCTTGCACTTTTAATTCCAACACTTTAGGAGGCTGAGGCAGAAGGATTGCTTGAGCAACACAGTCTCCGTCTCTACAAAAAACCTTAAAAATTAGCTGGGCACTGAGGCATGTGCCTGTAGTTCCAGCTACTTGGGAGGCTGAGATGGGAAGATTGCTGGAGCCTGGGTGGTTGAGGCTGCAATGAACTGTGATCACACAACTACACTCTAGCCCGGACAACATACATAGTGAGAACCTGTCTCTAAAAAACATAAAAAATAAAAGTATAGAGAATTACAATAAATACACTTACTTCAGTTTTTAAAAATTATACCTTAAGTTCTGGGATACATGTGGTGAATGTGCAGATTTGTTACATAGATATACACGTGCCATGGTGGTTTGCTGCACCCATCCACCCGTGATCTACATTAGGTATTTCTCCTAATGCTGTCCTTCCGCAATCCCCCAACCTCTGACAGGCCCCAGTGTGTGATGTTCCTCTCCCTGTGTCCATGTGTTCTCATTGTTCAATTCCTACTTATGAATGAGAATATGAGGTGTTTGATTTTCTGTTCCTGTGTTAGTTTGCTGAGAATGATGGTTTCCAGTTTCATACATGTTCCTGCAAAGGACATGAACTCATCCTTTTTTATGGCTGCATAGTATTCCATGGTGTATATGTGCCACGTTTTCTCTATCCAGTCTATCATTGATGGACATTTGGGTTGCTTCCAAGTCTTTGCTATTGTAAAAAGTGCTGCAATAAGCATACATGTATATGTGTCTTTATAGTAGAATAATTTATAATCCTTTGGGTTTATACTCAGTAATGGGATTGCTGGGTCAAATAGTATTTCTGGTTCTAGATCCTTAAGGAATCATCACACTGTCTTCCACAATGGTTGAACTAATTTACATTCCCACCAACAGTGTAGAAGCATTCCTATTTATTCACACCCTCTCCAGCATCTATTGTCTCCTGACTCTTTAATGATGCCATTCTAACTGGTGTGAGATAGCGTCTCATTGTGGTTTTGATTTGCATTTCTCTAATGACCAGTGATGGTGAGCTATTTTTCATGTTTCTTGGCCACATAAATGTCTTATTTTGAGAAGCATCTGCTCATATTCTTTGCCCACTTTTTGATGGGGTTGTTTGTTTTCTTCCTGTAAATTTGTTTAAGTTCCTTGTAGATTGTTGATATTAGCCATTTGTCAGATGGGTAGATTGCAAAAATGTTCTTTCATTCTGTAGATTGCCTGTCCACTCTGATGATAGTTTCTTTTGCTGTGCAGAAGCTGTTTAGTTTAATTAGATCCCATTTGTCAATTTTGGCTTTTGTTGGCATTGCTTTTGGTGTTTGAGTCATGAAGTCTTTGCCCATGCCTAATCCTGAATGGTATCATCTAGGTTTTCTTCTAGGGTTTTTATGGTTTTAGGTCTTAGTTTAAGTCTTTAATCCATCTTGAGTTAATTTTTGTATAGGGTGTAAGGAAGGGGTCCAGTTTTAGTTTCCTGCATATGTCCAGCCAGTTTTCCCAACACCATTTATTAAATAGGGAATTGTTTCCCCATTGCTTGTTTTTGTCAGGTTTGTCAAAGATCAGATGGTTGTAGATGTGTCTCAATATTTCTGAGGCCTCTGTTCTGTTCCATTGGTCTATATGTCTGCTTTGAGACCACTGCCATGCTGTTTTGGTTACATTAGCCTTATAGTATAGTATGAAGTTAGGTAGTGTGATGCCTCCAGCTTTCCTCTTTCTGCTTAGAATTGTCTTGGCTATGTGGGCTGTTTTTTGGTTCCATATGAAATTTAAAGTAGTTTTTTTCTAATTCTGTGAGGAAAGTCAGCGGTAGCTTGATGGGGATAACACTGAATCTTTAAATTACTTTGGCCAGAATGGCCATTTTTACAATTGAGTCTTCCTATCCATGAGCATGGAATGTTTTCCCATTTGTTTGTGTCTTCTCCTATTTCCTTGAGCAGTGGTTTGTAGTTCTCCTTGATGAGCTCCTTCATATCCCTTGTAAGTTGTATTTCTAGGTATTTTATTTCCTTTGTAGAAATTGTGAATGGGAGTTCACTCATGATTGGACTCTCTGTTTATCTATTACTGGTGTATAGGAATGCTTGTGAATTTTACACATTGATTTTGTATCCTGAGACTTTGCTAAAGTTGCTTATCATCTTAAGGAGATTTTGGGCTGAGAGAATGGGGTTTTCTTTTTTTTTTCTTTTTTTAAATTTTTTATTGGATTTTAGGTTTTGGGGTACATATTCAGAGCATGCAAGACAGTTGCATAGATACACACATGGCAGTGTGCTTTGCTTTTCTTCTCCCCTTCACCCACATTTGGCATTTCTCCCCAGGCTATCCCTCCCCACCTCCCCCTCCCACTGGCCCTCCCCTTTTCCCCCCAATAGACCCCTGTGTTTAGTACT